TATGAGCTTCTGCACGTACTGCGAGTCAAAGGTGAATAGTACAGAAGCGCCCTGCGGGACGAGAGGTGCTGGCGAACTGAGTTGTCCAAGAAGCCACAAACAACACTCCAAAGCAGCCTGTGACTCGGCGACGCTGTTGGACAGACGAGCGGCCCCAACGAACAATTCTTCCTCGCGAGATAAAACGACAGGTCCACACAAACGGAATTCAGGTTCAGGTTCTTCCTCGAAACCGTACTTTGAAAATATCGTAAAACCCCAGCCGCAACGAGCTGGACCTCGACGTCGCTTACCACCTCTCATAGTGAAGTCTTTAAAACTTCCATCTGTGAACACATGATAAATGTTGCCAGCATTGCTGAAGAAGGTGCGCTCCATTCCCAGCCGGTCCCGGATGTAGTGCTGAAAACCGGGCTTGTCATCGACAACCCAATTGATCGGCAACGGCTCCGGCGCAGTCCCCTCCCTAGCCTCCCATACTTTCTCCCTCCCCGGCGGCAGATCTTTAAGCAATAATAAAGGTAAATGGTCGGAGACGGTCGCCTCCGAGAGCACGGGGTGACACGGGCAGTGATCGAATGCAGGTCCTCTAGCCAATACGTAGTCGATCTGGCTGGGCGCGCACCGGAGGTCGCGGTAGCACGCGTCATTCCCAGCGCCCTGGCTCGCATCGCAGAAAGTACTCAACACCCTGAGCTCCTCCGTAAAGATGGTCTCGGCGAGACGAAAAACCTTCCAATGAGAAGAGCGCAAGGTAGAACCAAGAACAGGACCAATAAGATGAAAACCAGGATCCAAATCAGCAAGATTACAAGTGGCATCAATACCGCACAATAGAGAAGCTTCACTAGGACACGACATAAGCATCGTCTCGAAATCTGTCAAATTCTGTGCAAAACTTGTGCGTGAGGAACTCGAATCAAGGTGAGCAGACACGAAGAACAGCTCGCCCAAAACTGGATGATTCATCCTCACCCCCACAGCGCATCCCTGAAAGAAGGGGTCCCCAACGACGAAGCTGACCAAAGACTCGTGGATGATGATGCCGGGCACCCTGACACCGCGCAAGGGGGTGTCCGAGATGATCCGGTGGCCATCGACGTCCTGAGGGTAAGGATTCGTTTTAGCTTTGGTGAGCTCCTGGGCTAAAATGACTCCCCACTCGAATTCTCGTCGCATGCATGCCAAAGCGTCTCGTAGTTCCGATTCTGCCAACCCCCGCAGATTCCACGATAACGCCTTGAAACTCACCCCTCCGCGGCTGCGTCGAAAACGGCACGGGACTCAACGCGTTCCGGCCGCATTGATCGCCTCCAGGTTGTTGTCCAGGTCCAAAGCCACACCTGCGGCTATGAGCCGGGCCGCCGCTCCGACCACCACCTTCAATAGGTGCGTGTTCTTGTCCGCCTCGAAGAGCTTGATCGGCCACGGGGTTGGCGTAGTGGGCAACTTCTCACACAAGGATCACGTCGCCGTAGTCGGAAATCTTCACCGCCTCCAGCGCCACCTGCTCTTCGACCTTCGCCTTCAGCTGCTCCACGACCACGTCCCTCGCCTTGGCCACGCGCTTCCCCAGGTCCTGCTCCCAGTCCAACTTGTCGATGCCGTGCCAGAGCAGCCTCTTCGAGGCGTCGTTCGGGTCCACCGGCCTGGAGGGATCGGCCAAGTTAGTGGAGATCTTCTTGCCCTTGTAGGCCTTCAGGAACCCCACATCTCATCGGAGCTGTGAAACCATACCTTAGCCCGAGTGCAGAATGACCCACAACCCACCACCTGTTTATACTTAATGTTGTTGCTGTTGAGCTCGTCCTGCAAGAACTGGACGATCTTAACGGCATCGTTGTAAACGAACCCCCCGACCACGCAACAGCGTCTCTTCTTTAGGGGCACGAAACCAGGAGAAGTTTCAGTCCCGGCTGAAGACAGTGCAGCGCTGACGATCGTATTACCCCCTGGGCCTCCTCCACCCTGCCTTCCACTTCCTCCCACCTCCAACTCGCCCTTCTCCACCTTCTCCTTAAACTTAGCTAAATCCTGAAGCTGCTCGGAGTGCGTCGCCAGCGTGGCGCCCTGGTCCTTCACCTCCTGGTTCAATGTGTTGAGGGCCTGCTTCACTGGCTTGAGCTGCCCCTTAAGCTCCCCCCCGAACATCTCCTGTTGCGCTGCGAGAAGCGCCGCCATCTCGCCACCAAGGCCGTGCTTCGCCGCGACGGCGCTGGCCCTTGACGGTCCGCCTGCAACCCGGCCACGTTTCGCGCGGTCCTCACTCCCCGCATCTGCTCCATTCATGTCATCGTCGCTGACTTCGAACAGAGGCTCGGCCTGAGACAAGCGAGACATGATCGAAGGCATTGGTGTAATCAGAGAGTGACTGAACAGAGAGTACAGTACAGACGGGACCTTGAGCCAAAATGGCTTGAGCCAAAATGGCTACGGACGACGACGACGACGACGACGACGACGACGACGACGACGACGACTACGACGACGACGACGGACACCAGCGACGACGACGACGACGACGACGACGACGACGACTACGACGACGACGGACACCAGCGACGACGACGACGACGACCAGCGACAAGCGACCGACGACGACCAGCGACGACGACGACGACGACCAGCGACGACGACGACGACGACCAGCGACGACGACGACAACGACGAGCGACAAGCGACGAGCGACGAGGTCGACGACGACAACGACCAACGACCAGCGACGACGACGACGACGACGACGACCTGCGACGAGCGACGAGCGACGAGCGACGAGTGACAACGACGACGGCAACGGCGACGACGACGACGACGAGGAGCGACGACGACGGCGACGACCAGCGACGACGGCGACCAACGACGACGACCAGCGACGACGACGACGACGACCAGCGACGACGGCGACAACGATGACGATCGACGACCAACAACGACGACAAGCGACGACGACGACGACCACCACCAACGACGACCACTAACGACGACCGCCGACGACGACAACAAGCGACGACGACGACGACGACGACCTCGACGACAACAAGCGACAACGGCCAGCGACGACGACGACAAAAACGACGAGCGACGACGAGCAGCGAAGAGCGACGACGACGACGACGACGACGACGACCAGCGACGACGACAAATACGACGACGAGCAACGACGATAACGACGACGAAGACGACGACCAGCGACGACGACCAGCAACGAGGACGACGACGACGGATTCCAACGACGACGACGAAGACGACGACCAGCGACGACGACCAGCAACGAGGACGACGACGACGGATTCCAACGACGACGACGAAGACTACGACGACGACCGACGACGACGAGCGACGACGACGAGCGACGATGACGACGACGACGACCACCGACGACAACGAGCGACGCGACGACCAGCGACGACGACCAGCGACAACCGGCGACGCCGACGACGACGAGCAGCGACGACGACGACGACGACGAACGACGAGCGACGCGCGACGACGACGACCAGCGACGACGACGACGACGACGACGACCAGCGACGAGCGACGACGACGACGAGCGACGACGACGGCGACGACAAGCGACGACGACGACGACAACATGCGACGACGACGACGACGACGACGACGACGACGACCGACGACGACCAGCGACGACGACGAAGACGACGAGCGACGATCAGAGACGACGACAAACGACGACGACGACGACCAGCGACGACGACGACGACAACGACGACGTCAACGACCACCATAAAGGACCACCGACGACGACGACGACGCCCACCAACGACGACGACGACGAGCACCGACGACAACGAGAGACAAGCGACAAGCGACGAACGACGACGACGACGACGACCGCGAAGACGGCGACGCCGACGACGACCAGCGAGACGACGACGACCAACACCGACGACGACCACCGACGACGGCGACGACAACCAGCGACGACGACCAGCGACGACGACGACGACCAACGACGACGACGACGACCACCGACGACGACCAGCAACGACGACGACGACGATGACGACGACGACGACGACGTCCAGCGACGAGGACGCCGACGACGACGACGACGACGACGACAAGCGACGACGACGACGAGCAACGACGACGACGACAATATGCGACGACGGCCAGCGACGACGAACACCGACGACGACCAGCGACAACGGCCAGCGACGACGACGCCAAAAACGAGGAGCGACGACGAGCAGCGACGAGCGACGACGACGACCAGCGACAACGCTGACAACGACGACAAGCGACGACGACAAATACAACGCCGAGCAACGACGACGACGACGACGACGACGACGACGACGACGACGACGACGACACGGACCCCCGACGACGACCAGCGAAGACGACGACGACGACGACGAATTCCGACGACGACGACGACGACGACGACGAGCGACGAGCGACGAGCAACGACGACAACGACGACCACCGACGACGACGAGCGACGACGACGACGACGACGACGAACACCAGCCGACGACCAGCGACGACGACGACGACGAGCGACGAGCGAGGAGCGACAAGGACGACGACGACGACGACGACGACGACGACGAGGAGCGACGACGACGACGACGACACGCGACGAGGACGACGACGACACGCGACGACGCCGACGACGACGACCACCGACGACGACCAGCGATGACGACGACAACGACGACGAACGACGACCAGCGACGACGACAACATGCGACGACGACGACGACGACGAGCGACGAGCGACGTCGACGACCAGTGACGACCACCAACGACGACCACCGACGACGACGACGACGATGACGACGACGACGACGACGACGACCACCGACGACGACCAGCGACGACGAGCGACGACCAGCGACGACGACCAGCGACGACGACGACGACGACGACGACGACGACGACGAGCGACGTCGACGACCAGTGACGACCACCAACGACGACCACCGACGACGACGACGACGACGACGACGACGACGACGACGACCAGATACGAGCTACGACCTGCGACCCTCCGCGGCCTCGGTCGCCGCATCGACAGAGCGCGACCGCCGACCGCAGATCGGACTGGCGGCCGCGCGCGCGGGGAGCCCCACGAGGCCTCCCCGCTGCGGAGCTGCGCGGCCACGGGTTTCTCGGGCGTGGAGGGCACGTACGAGGGCGTCAGCCCCTCCGCCTCCAGCAGCCCGCTCCTGTCGGGCACGTTTCAGCCAACGACCCAACCCGCCGGTCGGAAGACGTGCGTCGAAACCTGTAAGTGGAAAGGCGCAGGTGAGGAAGAACTGGGTAGAAACATAAAAGTAGGAAGGCGTCGGGACTAGACTGGGCTTCCGCCCGCCCCCTGAAGAGGAGGGAGCAAGTGAAACCACTCGGTCATTGAAGTAGGAAAGCGCCTAAGGTGTATTGGGATCTGGGGATCAGAAAATACCTACTTTCAACCACCGACGCGTTCGCGGGCAGCTTACGCGCGAATGTCGGCGCAGTCGACCTGGTCTTTTTCCGTCGCTCATCTGGCGTGATTTTTTGTCGAGGCGCTGGAGGTCTCGGCCTGGGGGAACGGGACGACGCCCCTCCACTCAGGTGAAACCAGTCCACTCCACCAGCCAGGAGCTCAACAGCGCACCTTTAAAAACTTGCGTTCGGTCGGGCATGCCCTCCTACAGGCGGATTTTGCAAGAGCGATGAAAGATTGTCAAACAGAAAAACTACTCCAAAAAGAACCGCAAGATAGCCTCCAGCCGATTGTTTGACTATTTTTGAATCGCCTTCCTGTAGAGAAGGACGCGCCCGACTTCAAGCCGGGAGATCAACAGCGCATCTTCAAAAACTTGTCGGTCAGCTGCGAGGGCGAACGCCCACGCGGCCGATCCGCCAGCGGGCCGCGCCAGGCAGAGGCACACCGGGCAGGAGGAAAAGGAGAGGGCGGGCGCGGAGGGGGAGCGCGGAGGAGTGCGCAGGCGGCCACAAGCACCAACAACTTTTTGCGTCGGCGGCTGGGCAGAGTAAATGCGCTGGCGGAAGAACAATGGCAACGGAGATACCGTTGAAGCGAAATGTGCCACCATACAGGAATATGCAATGGACAAGGAGGGCGGCCGAAGGGGGGGACAGGAGGCGAAGGCCGCTCAGAGGGACGGGTCACACCCGGAGCGGGTGGCGTGGCCGGCCCCGCCAGCGGTGTAAAAGCACCGAAAACAGATGGACTGGAAGTTGTGAGCGGCCAGTGCAAGCTGCCGAAATCGACGGCAGCGCAGGTCCCACCAAAGAGGCAAGACATCATCCACTGGGCGGAAGGCAAACCTCCCTTCCTGTCGGGGAGACACTAGAATGGATGACGGATCCATGGATCTGGCGCGAGGGCGCAAGACGTGCTTGGCATGGGGACGAAAAGCGCAAATATTTTGTGAGGGCGCGAGGTCGCTGGCTTAGAATCTTGGAGTCCTGTTCGTGTTCAGGCTTCGGTACGGCATAAAACAATCTACCAACCAACCAACTTTGCGAAAGTGAACTCATATTGCATTTCTGGGCATCCCTGGGTCGTCTTGGGGCCCGTTTGGGGCGTCCTGAGACCCTCGTGGGCCGTTTTGGCGGGCTTGGGCCGTCTTGGGGCCCTCTGGGAGCCCTCCTGGGTCCCCTTGGGGCCCTCTTGGGGGACCCTAAGGGGCTCTTCTTGGGCCGTCTTGGGGCTCTTTTTGGCCGTCTTGACGCCCACTTGGGCCGTTTTGGGGGCCTCTAGGACCGTCTTGGGGTGGTCTTCGGGGCCTCATGGGCCGTTTCGGACGCTGTGACGACCAAAGAAACGGATATGCTAAAAATGTACGTCTCCCCTAGAGAATGGGACGATGTGTGCCTCTTGGGGAGTCCCTTTTGGGGGCCTCGGGCCTCTTGGGCTGACGACGACGACGACGACGATGATGCTGATGCTGATGCTGGTGCTGATGCTGATGATGATGATGCTGATGATGACGATGATGACGATGACGATGACGATGATGATGATGATGATGATGATGATGATGATGATGATGATGATGATGATGATGATGATGATGATGATGATGATGATGATGATGATGATGATGATGATGATGATGATGATGATGATGATGATGATGATGATGATGATGATGGATGATGTGATGGATGATGATGATGATGATGATGCTGATGATGATGATGATGATGATGATGTGATGGTGGTGGTGATGGTGATGTGATGATGATGATGATGTGAATGGTGATGGTGTGATGTGATGATGATGATGATGACGATGATGATGATGATGGTGGTGGTGGTGGTGATGGTGATGTGATGGTGATGGTGATGATGATGATGATGATGATTATGCTGATGATGATGATGATGATGATGATGATGATGATGATGATGATGATGATGATGGATGCTGGTGCTGGTGATGGTGCTGGTGATGGTGATGGTGATGGAGATGGTGATGATCCCGGCCCCCTCCCCCACCCCCCCTCCTCTTGGGGCCGTCTTGGGGCCGTTTGGGCCGTCTTGGGACCCTTTTGGGCCGTCTTGGAGCGTCTTGGAGGCCTTTGGCCGTCTTGGGGCTCTCTTCGGGGCCTCTTGAGGACCTCTTGGGAGCCTCTTTGGGCCCTCTCGGGGCCCTCTTGGCCGTCTTGGGGCCCTCTGGCAGCCCTCCTGGGTCCCATTGGGGACCTCCTGTGGCCCTCTGGCGCTTTTCTTGGACCGTTTTCGGGCCCTTTCGGGGGCCTCTGGGGCCGTCTTGGGACGACCTTTGGGACCTCATGGGCCGTGTTGGGCCCGTCTGGGCCCGAAAAGGCGAGAACCAGCAAAACCTTCTAAAACCGAAGGGAAATCAATGCTTTTGGGCTCCTGAGACCCTCTCGAGGGCCCTCTGGAGGGTCTCTGGAGCCGTCTCGAGGCTCTTGGACCGTCTGGAGGCCATCCGAAGCTCTCTTGGGGCCGTCTTTGGGTCGTTTTGGTGCCATCTTGGGCCGTCTTGGAGCCATTCAGCCGCTTCACTCGAAAAAATACTAAGAAACGGGCCGTGGAAGGCGCCCGCGAGCTGCTCCACTCGAAAAAAGTCCGCCGACCCTGTGTCGGCGTGTGTGAGGGGTTTGTCCGTTGCCGTCGTTCGTTCGTCGTCGTCTCCGTCGTCTCCTGTCCCTGCGCCCACCCTTTCTCTGGGCCGATCGTCTCCTGTCCCTGCGCTCCCCCTTTCCCTGGGTCCGTCTCCCCTCCTCCACTTTCCCCCTCTTCCATGGGCCCGTCGCCGCTCCCCCCCCCGCTTTTCCAGGGCCTCCCCCTCAAGAGCAACATTGTCATTGAGTCGAAGGGAAGCCCCTTCCCTTTGATCCCTTCCCTGCTGGGGGGGGGTCCTGGGGTGGGTCCCGGGGGGGTCCCGGGGCCCACACAAAGCCTCAGACGAGCCAAGAGCCGAGGCATTCTACCACGCCCTCTCCTCCCTCCCCCCTCCTCCCTCCATCCTCATCTCCCCTCTTTCCTCCGTCCGCCTCCAGAACCGAACTGGCCTCCTGGACACTCGGCCACGGGACACCGCAGGACCCAGAATTCCGAGGTCCACGGGACCCGCCAGGACCCAGCCCCGAGGACCTCCTGCCAGGACCCAGCACCAGGAACCAGCCCCCTAAAAGTCCAGGACTCCCAGGCCCCAGGCCCTGCTCGCCTCGTCCTGCGCCTATTCGTTTCCCCCCTATCTTCCTCCTCCTCCTCCTCCTCCTCCTCCTCCGCTCCTCCTCCCCTCCTCCGCCTCCTCCAAAACTCCTCCTCCTCCTCCTCCTCCTCCTCCTCGCTCCTCCTCCTCCTCCTCCTCCTCCTCCTCCTCCTCCTCCTCCTCCTCCTCCTCCACGTCCTCCTCCTCCTCCTCTCTCCTCCTCCTACTCCTCCTCCTCCGCCTCCTCCTCCTCCCCTC